GGCTTAAAACACACTGTGGGTGAAGTCCTTTTCACCAGCGTCTCTAGATTATAAGCAACCTGAGCACACAAAACGTGTCTCCCACATCTCCCACAGTACCTGGGAGAGTATCTTGCACATAATAGTTCATCCTTGGGATTTTTCTACTAAAGTCTCTTGGAAGGAAGTATAAAACAGCAGATCAAATTAGGCAGAAAGAATAAAAAACACAGAAAGGGTCAGAGGAAACAAGAGCCTCACAGAAGATCGATAAACACAATAGCAATAATGATGTCATCGCGATGCAGCCAAAAGAACAAATACAATGAAAGAGGCCAGAAGTCCAGGTGGACTGGGTAATAAATTGAGACCCTTTCAGTGGAGGGTCAGGCAGCAAGGTGCAAACAGCATGGGCTTTAGGGACACATGGGGTTACATGCTGGTTTTTCCACATATTAACTGTGTAGCTATAGAAAATGACTTTCCAATAATAGAACTCTAATACATTTTTTTTTTTTTTTTTTTTTTTTTTTAGAGCAGAGTTTTACTTTGTCTCCCAGGCTGGTGTGCAGTATCACAATCTCAGTTCACTGCAACCTCTGCATCCCAGGTTCAAGTGATTCTTCTGCCTCAGCCTCCCAAGTAGCTGAGATGACAAGTTCGTGCCACCACATCTGGCTAATTTTTGTATTTTTAAGTAGAGACAGGGTTTCACCATGCTGGCCAGACTGGTCTCAAACTCCTGAAATCAAGCGATCCACCCACTTCAGCCTCCCAAAGTGCTAGAATTACAGGCATAAGCCACTGAGCCCACTTCTATTACTATTTTTAACTCCCAAGGAAATGATGGGTCTAGGCAATGGTCACTGATGGATGCTAAGTATCCCCTCAAAAGGGAAAACTAGAAACAACGTCCTGATAGACGTACATACCACCACTGAAGAAAGCATCTTTACTACAATAAGTACAAACACTTGAATCTATTCAAGTCTCCAGATCTAAGGAATTAAAAGGGACAGAGGAACATGTTAAATGACACCATAGGTATGTGATGAAGAAAATCCAGACCGTAGGAAATGCTGTACAACTAATAATCTGGTTTCTTCACATAAACAAAAACTACACACAAAAAAAGACATGAACTATCACACTGAGTGGTGATCAGTTAATAATAATGTATTACATATTTTTAAAATGCTAATATAATAGATTTTTAACAGTCTTACCACAAAAAAAAAGATAAACTGGTGGGGTGATAGATATGTTAATTATCTTGATTGAATCCTTCAACGTCTACATAGACTTGTCACACTGCATCCCTTAAATATACATCATTAGTATTAGTCAATTTTAAGAAAAGAGAGATGGAAAGAGATTTAGTAAAACAAATTAATTAACTAAATTAATTAATGTGTTCAACCTTGTTTGGATCCTAGTTCAAACTACCAAAAAATTTTTAGACAATAATGGAGAAAATATGAACATGATTTGTATAACTGATATTAAGACATGTCTTTATCTGTGAAATATTACAGTTACTTTTTAAAAAAATTATTTGTGTATTTATTGAGACAGAGTCTCCCTCTGACACCCAGGCTGGAATGCAATGGCATGATCTTAGCTCACTGCAACCTCCACCTCCCAGGTTCAAGTGATTCTCCTGCCTCAGCCTCCCAAGTAGCTGGGATTATAGGCGCCCACAACCATGCCCGGGTAATTTTTTCTGTATTTTCAGTAGAGATGGGGTTTCACCATGTTAGTCAGCCTGGTCTCAAACTCCTGACCCTCAGGTAATCCACCCGCCTCGGGCTCCCAAAGTACTGGGATTATAGGCATGAGCCACTGCACCCAGCCTACTTTTTTTAAAATAGAGTTTTAAAAAACAAAAACCAACAACTCTGCCCTGGGTCATCCGGATGGTGTAAGGAAGTGAGGCTTGGCAACGCCTGTGTGTCTATATCACGCTTCCTCTGCAAACACTTACGGTCATCATCTGTGTGCAGCTTAGCCTTCAACTTCTCCATTTTCCTCTCATCCCGTAGTAATGTCCTGTCTTTTTTCAGCGTACCCGTCCCTTCCTCTTTCTTTTCTTCAATAGTTTCTTGGATTAAGGAGTATTCTTCATAATTTGTTATTCCTAAAAATTGGAAATTAGGCTGTAATTGTAAATAATTAAATTGTTATCAAGCTCTTTTAACCTAAGGCCTGTGATATTCCAAGGAGCTCCTGGTGGCAAAGAACCAGAAACGGCCTTACTAATGTGAGGGCCAGGGAGGCAGCCACAACAGATAAAATGAAGGTGTTTCAGCTCATTAAGTCATAGTCACGCTGTGGGGGAAAACAACAGGTAACGAACTTGGACACTTTTCTTTCAAAAACAAATTTGTAAAAATCAGACTCTGATTTCCTCTTTCTTCCAAAATGTCTTTGAAAACCTCCTACATTTTCACAAGGTTGTCACTACAATAATACAGAATCTCCAGTGCTAAGTAATTGCTTTCATAAAGGTTTCTTAAAAATCTAATCGCAGAATTTTGGGAGGCTGAGTTGGGTGGATCACCTGAGGTCGGGAGTTTGAGACCAGCCTGACCAACATGGAGAAACCCTGTCTCTACTTAAAATACAAAATTAGCCAGGTGAGGTGGCGCATGCCTGTAATCCCAGCTACTCGGGAGGCTGAGGCAGGACAATCACTTGAACCCGGGAGGCAGAGGTTGCGGTGAGCTGAGATTGCAGCACTGCACTCCAGCCTGGGCAACAAGAGCGAGACTCCATCTCCCCCCCCAAAAAAATCTAATAGTGAAATCATATCCAAAGAAGTCACACTTACAGTAAAACTTATATCACATTCAATTATCTCATTTATAATAAAGTTTGAGAAACACTGCCACAGAGGAGGTCATGCAGAAGAAGGCAAGACAGGGTCAAACAAGAAGTGTCTGAAGGAACTGGGCTGCCTTTGCATGAAGAGAAAACTAAGATAGGCAAGTCTACTTTCTTCAAATATTTGAAGGGCTTCATTAGAAAGGAGGCAGACTTATTCTCTGAGTAGAGTAAGAGAAGCCACAAGGAGAAAAACAATCTAATAATCAATCATAAGGGCGGTTACTATGAGTACTCAAGGAGACAGTGAACATCTATAGTGCTCATACAGAACAGAAGGCAGCAGTGGGCAGAAGGCTGAACTACACAAGACTTTCCATTTGAAAATCTCATAGCTTTGGAGAGGGAAATGACAGCTCTCAAGTGTCTTAGTGAGAAGTCCCAACATTTCATGGATTGGCAAGTTGGGAGAGTGGACACACCCTCTGGGGATTGGGCAGAACTTAGTATGTTAAGACACATTCAAAATTGCCTAGAGAGGAAATGCAGGTGGAAAAAAGAAGAGGCCTAAAACTAAAAACCAAGCAAAAGTTACAATGAAGGTGTATGAATGCTCACCTATTCTGCTGCAAATAGTGACCAGGAGCTCCCCCACAGTCTTGGAATCATCCACCATCACCGTCTTCACAGATCCATCCAGCATCCGGATTTTCTGAGGTCTCTGTTTCTTTTTATATTCCAAAATATCCTAGAGCACAAACCACACACAAATTTCACACTGTATGGGAAAACAGATAACAAACTTGAACACTTTTCTTTAAAAAAAAAAAAAAATCACAGTAGACTCTGATTTCCTCTTTCTTCTAAAACATCTTTGAAGACCTTCCAAAGCATTCAGGGGATTATCGCCACTATGATAATACAGAATCTCCAGGGCTAAATAACTGCTTTCATAAAGAGTCCTTAAAAATGTGATAGTGAAACTGTACCCAAAGAACTCATACTTAATGCCTCACAATTACTGAAAACAATCCTCGGTGAAATGTAAGTAGCGTATGACCTCCTGAAAGGCTGGAAAGGATCTGCTCTAAGGAGAATTAGCAGAGGGAGGTGATTCTTTGCCTTTTAAATGGATAGCAGTGTGTGTCTCCAATTATCGTTCAACACTGTCATAAGCAACTTTTACTATCTATATGTCTTTACTATCTGCATATGAAAATGTTTAATTTTTACTATTAATACATTTTACCTTATATATTATAAATAATGAAAGACATAAATAGCATCCTTATCATTCCTCGCACTAGTGGCGTATCACAGTAGTAACAATTTTCGAAAGAATGCGTTGAAATACAATAATGACAAGACCAACAGGGGTGATAATGTTTGGGGGTTATTTTTAAGTAACTTGTTTACTACACTTCCCAAAACTACAACTATGAACTTCCTAAAACTAAACTATTAATTTCCTATTCAAATTGATTAGCATCACATATTTCACTCTTACTTTATGGAATACCCATCAGTCCAATGGGTCCACTCCATCCTACATACCAAAACCCAGTATCTTGGAGGCTAAGCTGAATAAAATGTTTAATACGTTTCTACTCATCAACTCCCCCTACTTCCATAACACGACCATTTTTGTTGTTGCTGTTACTACTGCTGATCATTATTAAACTCACATCTCAAATTGAAGTTTCTTTTTCAAAACCAAAACACTAATATTCACTCTCTAGCTACCGTTAGGGTTACACTTGGTTTTCCCTCTCATCTGTTCTTACTTCCCATCACCAGGCACAGGAATATCTCTTACATACTTACAGTTAAGATGCTATATCTTATCTCACAATTTCCAATTCCAACAATGACAAGTAGAAAGTACTTAAAATACTAACCCTGAACTGCTTCAATCCTTCTACGGAATCTCAAGAATCTGGGTATGTGGCATTTTCTATCAACACCTGGATAGGCCTTACAAAGTACAATGCATCGAACTCTTCATAAGATGCCCTTGAATCAAAATAGTGTAATCATGTTGGCTTCTATGGAAGGCCCAGGGACAAAGAGATGAGAAAACCAAACTGGGATCAGTGGCATACCCCATTCCGCAACATGTAGTAATCCAGTGTTCTGCCTGCTTCCAGCCAAATCCCTTTCCTGGGGTCTTCATCCGAAAGGAACAGTCCATAGTCAGAAGCTGGAATATGAAAAATAGAAGGGAAAGTGGTAATGAAGTCATCACTGACTTCCAGGCCCTGAGCCTGCTGACTCGGCAAGGATGTGGGTGTTCTCCTTCACCAGACAGAAACGTTTCGTTTTGACGACACAAGCAGCCACCGGGGCTGCAGCCGATCTGGAGGAGTAAGAGCTGAGTTGCAGAAGCAATGCCTGCAAATAAGGTCCATGTTTCCTAAAACCAGTGGGCTGCAGTTGTGCCTAAAATGTAGGAAAATTTAGAAGCAGTCTAAATTTCTTTCTAACTGAATTTGAGCTTGTTCTTCATATCTTGCTATAAAAACCAGACCAACATTCCATGGAGAATAACAAGACAGCAGTGAAGAAACTAAGGAAGTGACCACCTATGCCCAGGTCCACTCAGGCCAGTGGGAACAAATGAAGCCTTTATGTCTCAAGTGACCCCTCCATCATCCCAACTGAGCAGTCTAAAAGAGAGGCAGGAGTTCCTTGTGAGATGAGGCCTCTGCCCCTTACTACCACCAAGTTATATAAAAGGTACACAATTAAATTTGGTTTTCTCTGCAGGAACCCCTTAATCTGACATAAAAAATATGAGGTTGGGGGAGAGATAGGAGAGGAGCAGTACCATTTCCTCCCTCAAAATTTCTCTTTCTTCTCAGAGCCCCAGATGAGGGTAAGAGCTCCTGCTGTTTCTTAGAAAAGCAACTTCACCGGTACTACATAGCAATCAAGCTCCCTACCCACCACGACAAAAAAAATCGGAAAGAAAAACAACAGAAAAAGGGAATAGAAAAGTAAAGGCACCAGAAATGACTGGAAACAGAGTAAGGTTAGGGATGTAGCAAACCTTATTTCTGGGTAATCTAGCAACAACACAGTATTATTAATAACATAAACAATGTTTTAATGGCCAGGGGCGTGGTGGATCATGCCTATAATCCCAGCACTTTGAGAGGCTGAGGCAGATGGATCAGTTGAGCACAGGCGTTTCAGACCAGACTGGGCAACATGGTGAAACCCCATCTCTACTAAAAAGGCAATATTAGCCAATATTAGCCAGGTAGTGGTTCGTGCCTGTAATCCCAGCTACTCAGGAGGCTGAGGCAGGAGAATCACTTGAACCTGGGAGGCAGAGGTTGCAGTAAGCCAAGATCACACCACTGCACTCAAGCCTGGACAGCAAGAGCAAAACTCTGTCTCAAAAAAAAATAAGCCAGGTATGGTGGCAGGTGCCTGTAATGCCAGCTACTCGAGAAGCTGAGGCAGGAGAATCGCTTGAACCCAGGAGGTGGAGGTTGCAGTGAACCGAGATTGTGCCACTGCACTCCAGCCTGGGTGACAGAGTAAGACTGTGTCACAAAGAAAAAAAAAATAGTTATAAAGTGTATTAAATGACATAGAGATGAGACAATTGTTAAATACTGAAAAGAAAAAAAATCATGGAACTCTAAAGATATTCTGTCCTCAGAATGCTTCATGGTTGTCTTCAAATTCCCCCACATTTTTTGTAGTCTACAAAAATTAGCCGGGTGTGGTGGCATGGGTACCTGTAGTCCTAGTTATTCAGGAGGCTGAGACGAGACTACAGTGAAATCTGATGGGGCCACTGCACTCCAGCCTCAGTGACAGAGCAAGATAGTGTCTCAAAAAATAACACTAATAACAATATGTTTTAGACCAAAAAGAATTTTATGAAAAGCAGATTTTTCAAGATCTTTGTGTATTTATAATTACCCTTGTTGTGATGTTTGAATTTTATTCTTCCTTTTTTGGGGTCTCTCTTTTTTGACAGTCTCGCTCCAACAGCGAGGCTGGAGTGCAGTGGCTAGATCATGGCTCACAGCAGCCATCAACTCCTGGGTTGAAGCTACTTTCCCACCTCGACTTCCCCAATAGCTGAGACTACAGGCACATACCACCACACTCAGCTAATGTTTCAGACTTTAGTATAGAGAGAGTTTCACCCTGGTGCCTAGACTGGTCTGTAACTCCCAGGCTTAAGTGATCTTCCCGCCTTGGCCTCACAAAGTGCTTGGATTACAGGTGTGAACTACCATGCTTGGCCTGCTCTTTTCATTTTTAAGGTAAGTTTTACCCCACTTTCACACTTAAGATTTATTGATTTGGAAGGGACGTAATTTCTCAACTGCCTGTCAAATAAACACTAAATAATGGAAAGACACATAGAAGACAAAGGGAAGGGGAAAATAAAATGGCACAAGTGGCTTTTGTTTAAACTCAGATTAATGGGCATGAGTGATTCAGCCAAGCTTAAAACAAAACATATCTCACACAAGTCTTTCTTTAAAGATTTGAGATAAAATTTATAACGTCCCTGCAAAAAAATTTGAAATGTAATACCTGCCCTGGATTCCAATGGCAGTGGAAAGCGTTCATGCATGGGAAACAGGGCTTAGGATATACACCGCCAATATTGTTAGGGCAGCTTCATTTGTTCTTTCTTGGGACAATGAGACGATATATGAGAACGTGATCTGTAAGCTGCAGAGCACAATCCTAATGTATGGGAGGGTCCAGTTGCTGGGTACAACGACAGTGATGACTCCGGGGTGGGCATGGTCATTGTCATCACGAGTCTCACATAAGAAGGAGGCAGTTACTGATCTAAGAAGGTATTTCACTTGAAATATATGCGCTAATAGGCTTGTGTACCACTTGGAGCCTCTGTCTCTTTAGCAAATAAGTGAAAAACACGCAAACACACTTTAAGAAGCCAGTAAATAACCCATGACCTACCTTGCCCAGTTTGTGCCTCAGGTACCCGTTCCCTAATGACTCGACACGCATCATACACAGCTGTAGATGGTTCAAACTGCATGGTCTTCACCACGTTGCAGTGGCGGACACAAATCTTTAAGGACAGGGCTACCATTTTCCTAGATGATGTGGACAGTCTCACAATGTCTGAAAAACACAAAGAGACAAACCCTGACATTCACGATAATAATTTGTTTTGGGGGGTAAAAAAAAAACACTGGACTTTACAATCAACTTTAAACATGGAAAGGGAATGAAACAGTAAACAAAAGAGTACTTTAGGTACAAAACAAATTTTAAAACTCAATTTTGAAAAATTTAAAGGAGGATAATAGCAGCATATCGGCTAAGAGTTATTACTAGAGGATGACAAGCAGAACTCCTGAAGAGGAGGGAGCTCCAGATGTTCACTGCCCCTCCCTCTGACTAGTCCCACACCTTGGAGTTTCTGAGAGAAGGTCCCGGGAATGGAATTTCCGGGTTAATGTCCCCAGTGCAAGAGGCAGAGAGCCTTGGGAGCCTATGACTGGGTCATGAAGACAGCCTCAGTTCCCTGGGTTCCCTCAGTTCCTGGGTACACAGAAAAATCAGGGAGGCCCTCTCAAATGTTCCTCTTGGCACATGAACTCCACCACCCACCTACCAGAAGCCTTGGCTTCCGGGCCCAGCTCCATCACTAAGAGCCTGTGTCAATCTGAGAAAGTCACTTTGGCCACTCTGCCTCAGTTTCTTCACAAATAAAGTGGCCATAATGATATTGGGCCTGCACAGTGCCTAAAATAGAATCCCAAGGGGAGATCAACATAAGGCCAGAGAGGCCAATATTAAATCCAAAGGGACCAAGCAGCTTCACGTGATTGGGGTCTCAAAGGGAATAAAATGCCAACTCAATTCTAATTTGGTTTAGATAAACTATGGAGGTATTTTGTTTCTTGTGCAGTTCAACAGTTTTAGAAAATACACAGATGGCTGGGTGCAGTGGCTCACACCTGTAATCCCAGCACTTTGAAAGGCTGAGCCAGGTGGATCACCTGAGGTCAGGGGTTTGAGACCAGCCTGCCCAACATGGTGAAACCCTGTCTCTATTAAAAATATAGCCTGGCATGGTGGCATGCACCTGTAATCCCAGCTACTTAGGAGGCTGAGGCAGGAGAATCAACTTGAATCCAGGACACGGTGGTTGCAGTGAGCTGAGATTGTGCCACTTCACTCTAGTCTGGGCAACAGTGCAAGACAGACTATGTCTCAAAAAGAAAAACAAAAAGAAAGGAAAAGTTTAGGCTAAGTTTGAATTAATTCATAAATGCTTTCTTTTAAAAATGTAAATTTAGCTCTGTCTAAAAAAATAAAAAAGTTCAACAGTTTAGTGCTTTTCCTTTGAGTTGGTGGCTCATGGAGTTATTTCCAGTATCTGCTCTATTTCATGGCCAGAAACTTACCTGTCCCCTCTTCATTTAACCCAAGCCAGCCTCTATCAAATATACCCGTTGGGCACAACAGAGACAGAAAGAAACCTATATCACAAGTGCTCTTTATTTTGTGCCTGAAGAACCAACTCAGACATAGCCAGCTGAGTATCATCCTAGCAAGCAAAACAAGGTCCGTTCTGGTTACTAGCTAATAGAATCTTAGAGCCGTCCAGATAACATCAATCCAAAGGCATTTCAACCTCACTCTCTCTTTCCGGTGTTTTATTAGAGAACCTGCAAGTAGTTAAGCCTGGACTCCAGCTTCCTCCCAAGTAAGAAGGCAAGTGCTAGGAGGCAATGAGACGGCCACAAAGCAGAGGGAACAACAGGCTGCTCAGGCCCAGACAGTGCAGCGGTGGCTCCAGGGTCTCAGCTCAACACGCTTGATTGCTGGCTTCCTAACAACAGGTGGCTGGGTCACTTGGACACAGGAGATGTTTTTCAACAGATGCTCTGGCAAATTCGGGCATGGTTTACACAGTCTCACAAAGCAAGCTTTCAGGCCGTCCAACTGTAATGTCATTCTGACCCATGCTTGCATTCCGAAAGAATTTTGCCATGAAAATTGTGAAACTATTCCTTAGTTGAGAAATGTCAGGATATACTCCTCAATAAACAACAGCAGTGTTCACTGGGAATCTGCCTAAAAGTGAATTAATTAACTACAGCCTAGGCAGCGGCTGGATTGCTGACACCGCAGAGGGGTTCAAAATATCTGGCAATGCCTACCTGCGGTCTCGAGGACTTTTAAAGCCATATGCAAAAGCTTTCCCTACTGCTCTCTTTATAGACCGAGTTAAACCAGCAGCTCCCCAGTTGGGGGAAATAAAACTTAAACTCTAGAGATAAATAGACGAATTTGCTGTGATGAAGATCATTCCATGGGCTACTCTGTCCCCTAGGGGCTGGTGACAATTGCTAAAATCCATAAGCTTCACTGGCAGTAAGAGTCA